CCCTCCAGGAGTTGAGGTGGTTCATGGTTTCATCGCTGTTTCTTTAGGGAGGTATTCCATTATGTGTATGTACCAGGTTTTTTTAAATCCACTCTTCTATTGGTGAGAATTGAGTCTGCTTCCAGCTTCTTGCTACTGTGAACTGTGCTGCGATGAACATGGGGGGACAAACGTCTGCTCATGATCTATTTCTTATTTTGTGGGGCTATATGCCCAGTAATTGCTGGGTCCTATGGTAGTTCAATTGCCATCTGTTCTTGGTATCACTATATTGCCTTCCATAGTGGCTGTGGGTATTTTCAAGTCCACCAGCAGTGGATAAGAGTGCCTATCTCACCATACCCTCTCCAACATTTGTTGTTCTCAGTTTTTTTAAACTGTGCTACAGTAATGGGTATTACATGGTATCTTAGGGTTGTTTTGATTTGCATTTCCTGGATGGCTAATCACTGGGAGCAACTTTACAGTGACTTTGTGTAGCAAATGTGCTCAATGCAATACATTGTTTGATTTCTTGACTGCTGCTTCCATGAGTGTTGATTGTGGATCCAAATAAAATGAAATCCTTGATAACTTCAATTTCTCTCCATTTATCATTATATATTTTTATTGATCCTATTGTGAATATTTTTTCTTTTTATTGAATTTATGCTGGAGGCTATAAACTGGTATTTATCCTAAGCGCTGTAAGGCCTCTGCGTTTTTAGCATAGGAGGCTATGCCATCTGCATATTGCGTGTTGTTAGTGAGCCTTCCTCCACAACTCATACTGTGTTCTTCATATAGGCAAGCTTCTTGGATTATTGGCTTAACAGACAAACTAAATAGACATGGTGGAAGGATAAAATCCTGGCACACACCTTTCTTGATTTCAAAGCATGTAGTATCCTCTTCAGCAAAATTTTACTTGTGTATAATTTCAATCATTTAAAAAATAATTTCTACCTGATGTTGTACTACACTTCTTTGTAATTGACACACAGATATGGACCTATTCTAACCAGTTAGGGAGCCCTGGCGGCCTAGTGGGTTATTCACTAGGCTCTTAACCTGAAGGTCAGCAGTCACTCCTCAAGGAAGAGACGACGCTGTTGGATCCCAGAAGGATTTACAGCCCAGAAACCTTATGGAGTCCTTCTACTCTCCTGTGGGTTGGAATCAACGTGATGGCAGTGGTGGGTGGTGCAGTCAGTTGCCCAGGTAACTGTCTTCCAAATTTCTTGGCATAAACTGGAGAGGGCTTCCAGTGCTGCATCAGTTTGTTGAAATATTTCAGCACGTATTCTGGCATTTTCTGAAGCCTGTTTCACCTTACTGCCTTCAGTGAAACTTGTATTTCTTCCTTCAATACCATGGGTTTGTGAACATACAGTATCTCACAAAATGGTTGAGTAACAGCCAATTCCTTTTGCTATAGTGACTCTGTATTCTTTTCATCTTCTGTTGATGTTCCCTGAGTATTACAGTATTTGCTCTTAGAATCTTTCATTACGGAAATGTTACCTTGAACTCATTATCCAGGTTTTCCAGCGTGTGATATGCTGAGGATGTTCTTTTCTTTTGGTTTTCCAAATCCAGACTTTTGCTTATTTCATCACAGTGCTTTACTTTTGTTTCCTGGAGCTGCCTTTTGACATTTTCTGTTCAGCCCTGTTACTTTATCATTTGGTTCCATTTGCTTTAACTACTCCGCATTCAAGAGCAAATATCAGAGTCTCTTGTGATACTCACCATTAATCACTAGTGCATCTTGATTACATGTTTGAGTAATTTCAGGCTGCAAAATTTGGTAGCATTTAAAGAATTTCTTTGTCAGAGACTTTAGTGGTTGACACATGAATTTGAATAGTAGTTGTGTTAACTGATCTTTCTTGTAGGTGCATGGATATTGTTAGATCACATTCAGCCTTGCACTTCAAGATCTAGATCTTGAAGTATAGTTTTTGAAATGGTTAAGATCAATCTTGAAGTGTTCTTTTGATGAGGAATATAACCCCACTCCTCTTGAATTTGCCGTTCCTTGCAGAGTATATAGTATTATTGTCATTTATCAAAATGGCTAATACTAGTTCATTTCAGCTCATGAATGTCTACACTACCTAACCTATGTATTCCATTACATTTTTGACGAGTTCCAATTTTCCAAGCATAATACTTCATACATTCTGTATTTGTAATATGAATGGATGTTTGCATGAAGCTGTTTCTTCTCATTTGAATTTGTGACCCATCAAATAATGAAGGTCCCGAAAGCTTTGCTCCATCTGTGTCATGAAGGTCAACTCTTCTTTGAGGAGGCAGCTCTTCTCTAATTGTAGTTTGTGTGCCTTCCAGGCTGAGGGTGCATCTTCTGACACTACATCAGACCGTGGTCTGTTGTTATGCATAAGGTTTTCAGTAGCTAATTCTTTCTAGTCTGTTCTTAGTCTAGAACAGGGGTTCTCAACTTGTGGGTCACGACCCCTTTGGGGGGGTCAAAAGACCCTTTCACAGGGGTTGCCCGATTCATAACAGTAGGAAAATTACAGTTATGAAGTAACAACAAAAATAATTTTATGGTTGTGGTGTCACCACAACATGAAGAACTGTATTAAAGGGTCACAGCATTAGGAACGTTGAGAACCACTGGTCTAGAAGCTCCCCTGAAACTTGTTCAGCCTGTGGGTGACCTGGCTGGCATTTGGTATATTGGAGGAATACCTTCCCTCATAACAGCAACATACAAGCTACCACAGTATGACAAACTGGTATATTTAAGGGGAATTCATCATTAAGGGCAATATGGAACAAAATAGAAAATGTTTGAATTAACTCAGTCATGCCGCAGGTAGTTTAATCTCATGATTACATTCACCAAGTATGAGACAGTTCTGTCCAATGGTGGTCATGGAGTCAGGCTCATGACTGTAGGGTGAGGGCCCTATAGGGTGAGGGCCTGATTGATGAGAAAATATTTATTCATAGGTCGTTGTGCTGCTGGTGACAGGGATGGGAGTGCGTTCTGGGTGCTGATATTACAGGGTGCTGTCAAGAACATAAATCAGGATGATAACTGTATATAATGTGAACCCATCTGTGTCAAAATTTGAAGACTCTCTAAGCACAATATGAGAAATGGGCAGAATGTTTTTTGAAAAATACCCACACCACACTTCTTCCATAAATGTGGGAACTTTGATTCTGTAGCCTTCCAGAAATACTCTTTGCAATTTGTGTTTTCTTTTGACAGCACTTGCC